AGAGATTCCCAACTAAATTAACCACATAAACATTCAGTGAAGTATAATTTGGCTAATATCTGAATTATTTGCTGGGGAAGAAGATAAGATAAATGAAATGGCTTATTGTGATGGAAGAGGTAATATTGATTTGAACAAATTCTAAATTATGTTGTATGCTGCTTTTACTGCATTATTTACAATTGGATTAATATCATATTTATTTATTCGAATGCATTGCAGAGAAAGAAGCTGGTAAGATGATTGAAAAGCCTCATTTTGTAGAGTTGAAAAAGAGCATTTGTAAAGGAGACTGGGATGTTGTAAAGCAGTTTTTTGTTTTTCACAAGTATCCACTAAATACAATAATATTATCAGACTACGGCTACACTGCTCTTCATGTTGCAATCATGGCAGGGCAAGATATGATTGCCGAGAAATTGGTAAAGAAGATGTCGGAAACAGACCTGGAAATAAAGACTGCCAGTTATGGTCTTACTGCTCTTTCCTTAGTTGCATTCCAGGGAAGAACAAACGTGGCAAAGTGCTTAGTCCAAAAGAACAGAAAATTACTTACCATTGAAGATAATCAAGGCCACATCCCGGTTTGTAGGGCATGTGGTGTTGGCCACAAGGAGATGACAGACTACCTCTACTCTGTCACCCCATTTGAAGTATTGCAACCAGAAAATGGCAATCAGGGAATCTGCCTCATCCGAGGGAGTATAGCTAACAAAATGTTAGGTAAGATTATTTTATTTTGTGTCAAGCATCCAAGTCAAACTACGAGGTGAGAAGACTTATTGGCACGACCCACTACCTCCACTAGTATATCTCAATTAATTTGAAAATCTTTAAGATTATTTTAAAATTTTAATCTTTATATTTAAATTAAAAAAAGTTCTACTATTGTATTCTCAAGAGCATGTTCGGGTTGAGGATAATGGAGAGAGAAATTTCTCTGTTTGATTAACAAAAAAATTAGAAGAACAGAGATAGGATGAGAGAAATCTTCCCTTATTTTTTTGCTTTTTAATCTAACTGAACAAGGAAAAGGAGGGGAGGGAAATGTGGAAAGGATAACAAATTAACAATGAAATCACACTATGCTAAAGGTTACAGGCAAAAAACCAAGCTATCCATACTAATTAACAACAAGAAAATGACTCAAGTAGTTTGATAGTTTCCTTTTAATAGAATTTTTATAAAATATTCTCAATTCAAGTCAAATACTATGTAAATAAAATAAATTAAGATATAAAATAAGATAACCTTTCATTATACCACTTATTATTATTATTTTTTTTTGAACAAATGTAATTATTTATAGTTACAAAGGGGTGGAAAAAAAAGAGTTGAGAGTTGAAATTCAAACCTCCCAATGTTTTCCCACTTAGAAATAGAGTCTAACCATTCCGTTCACGACGGGGAGAACTATTATACCACTTAATTAATAAGGAAAAAACCGTGAAAATGACATATACTTACCCATTTTCTGTTTCAAAGAAGACTTCAAGGACAGCCACAAAAAAAAAAAAAAAAAAGGAAGAAGAAACAATACAAGGGATTGTTGGGTCATCTCTGTAGCTTGAGGAATTAAGAAGAGGAAAGTCGACTATCTCTTCAATACATTGTGAGTAGAATACAGATTTATATACGTTCTTCCATTATTTTTTAATTTATGACTTTGTGATGAGCTTGTTCTGTTCTTGATGGTAGCTATTTTTTTAGTGAAAATATAAAAAGAAATTAAAATTTAGAAACTTTTATAGAAGATTAAGAATTGTTAAGTTTTAATATTTATTTATTTTTCATTTATATGTTAGTTTTATAGAAAATTATTAATGTTAAGACGTGATTATTTTTAATTTTTTAAAAGAAACTTCTTAAATTTATCTTATTTTTATTGTTTGATTAAAAAATGGTTATCACTCTCTTCGAAACATGACTAAGATATGTAGGTGGACGCTAGCAAAAGGCGACTTGCGTTGTATTTTCGTGCTTCCCTCTCTAATCCTGGGAATTAGAAGAGTAGGCAGTTTTCATATTCATAAACAAAAGGTTGCCCTTTCATTGAATAATCCTCAAATAATAGTAAGAGATCGATGTCAGTGCAACGAATTAACATGTACCTTTTATGGTTTGACAGGTTGGAAATGACAATAAGCAGTGATTCAAATACTACAATTGTTCCTTTT